GGCCAGTGCTGCACAGCCCACAGGAGTCCTTGTATTTCGGCCTCGCCTCTCCCCTCCCCTCCCCTCCCCTCCCCTCCCCTCCAAACACTCCCTTTTCCTTCCCTCCAAGTCCCCTTTGCAACCCCATGAAGCTGCAGGCTCACTTCTTTCTGTGACAACTGGCATAGCCTCCTCTCTCCCCATCAGAGCAGCATCTAAAGCCTTGGGAGGAACCCCCTGAACAACCTGATGTTCTTCCAGGGCCTACACTTTCCATCAATGGTGGGAGAGAGCGATCCTGTGGCCCTGGACAGCCTCCTCCCCAACTCCTCTGAAATGCCTTCATTAAATGAACAAGCTTGTATAGCAAGAACTGCCAGGAGAAAGACAGGACAGCCAAGACTGCCTCCGCCACACTTCCCAGCCTGCATACAGTGATCATGAGCCTGAGTCTGGGCGCTTGTAATCATGCAGAGCACAATCAGTACAACTTCACCCGCAACATGGGATAATTTGATTATTGCCAGTTGGTGTTTCAAGCTGGCGACAGAATGCTGGAAGGTGCAGCGTTTTTTCTGCCTACCTATGCACAGGGAAGCCTCCTGAATCTGCCAGGCTGAATCCCTATACACACTTGCCAGGGAGTAAGCCCCAAAGAACACTATCAGGCTTATTTATAAATACACATGTGCAGGATCGCACTGTTCCAGCTGAATCCAGATTTAAGCTGAATCAGTTCAGATGAATCAAGTGAGCTGGTGGAAATGGACTTCCCACTCCCCTCCTTTCCAGGACAGTCCTTCCTGCTAGAAATGTGAAGGTTTAGGAGGGAGAAAGGGAGAAAAACTTGTGGGGAAATTATTTTTAAAAACAAGTTCCCTGGTTTTTTCTGGGTCTTCATTTCCAGCACCTGAAAATGCCACAGAAAGAATCAGGAAATTCCACTGTGCAGTGATGTGGGGGATTGAGTATCCCCCCAAAATCAGACAGATAAATCTTATGCAAACAGATTCCTTCCTCTGACAGGAAGGTCCGTCTCATGAAAAGCAGATTGTGAAATGTGAAGGGCCCTAGAAGACTCCCTTGCTCCTTCACAAAGTTAGAATACCAAGTTGTGAGTCACAGGGAACCTACAAGGATAAACTATGCATAAGGCAGAAATGGCTTTTCTGCTCTTAAAGTTTGGCAGACAGTTCTGTGACTCCTGAAACTACATATATCAATGGCAACATTCTCAGTCCAGAATATGTTATCTTGTCTACATCTCTCTTTTTGTACTGAGACATGGGCTTGCATTTTTAGAGGGGCTAAACTCAAAGTATTTTTTGGCAAATAAAAGGGGAAGCTGCAGTCCTGTGCTAGAGAAAGAAAAAGCCACAGGGGCCCACCGCAACAGTAACTGCTACAGGATTACGCACACCCTTGCCTCACCTCAGCACAGCACACGCTCCCCTCTTCTCTTTAAGTGAAGTTAAGAATTACACCAGCAGGAGGCAACCGGGTACCCTCCAGATGTTTTTTAAGACAGCATTTTATCCCCCAAGCTGTTCAACATCTACATGAAACCACTGGGAGACCTCACCCCGGGTTTGGGCTGCAGAGTCACCAGTATGCTGATGACACCCAGCTCTACCTCTCTTTTACATCCAATCCAGGTCAGGCAGTGGGTGTCCTGAACCGGTGTCTGTCCAATGTAATGGGCTGGATGAGGGCCAATAAACTGAGACTTAATCCTGACAAGACAGAAGTCCTGTTGGTAGGAGGTTCAACTTTCCAGGTAAGTGATCTTTGCCCTGTTCTGGATGGGGTTGCACTACCCCTAATGGCCAAGGTGTACAGTTTGGGAGTGCTCCTCAACACAGAGTTGTCCCTGGAACTGCAGGTGGCTGCGGCAGTGGGGAGCACTTTCCTTCAGCTGCTTCATCAGCTGTGCCCTTACCTGGATGAGCAGAGTCTAGCAATGGAGACCCATGTCCTGGTAACCTCCCAGCTGGACTACTGTAACATGCTCTACATGGGGCTGCCCTTGAAGACAGTCCAGATACTTCAGATGGTACAAAATAGAGCAACCAGGATGTTAACAGAGACTGGCAGATATGCTCACATAACACTGGTCCTTTATCATCTACACTGACTACCAACTGAAGTCCAGGCCTAATTTAAGGTGTTGATGACAACCTATAGAGCCCTAAATGGTTTGTTGTTGTTAGTCTCGAAGTCATGTCTGACCCATCGCGACCCCATGGACAACACTCCTCCAGGCCCTCCTGTCCTCCACCATCTCCCGGAGTCCACCCAAGCTCACACCAACTGCTTCAGTGACTCCATCCAGCCACCTCATCCTCTGCCGTCCCCTTCTTCTTTTGCCATCTTTTGCCATGGTTTGGGACCTGGTTATCTGAAGGAGTGTCTTCTTCCATATGTGCCTGCCCTCCCCTTAAGATCTGGATCAGAGGTCCTTCTTCAGGAGTCCTCTTTGAAATAGATTAGGATTAGGAGAGTGGCTACCTGGAGGAGGGCCTTCTCTGTGGTGGCACCCTGCTTGTGGAACATGCTCTCCAGAGAGGTGTGCCCAGCACCAACACTTTATTCTTTTTGGTGCCAGGCCAAAACCTTTTTATTTTCCCGGTATTTTAAGTTTTAATGTTTATTTTAGTCCAGTTTTTATGATAAATATTATGTTCTGCCTTTGTTGTTGGACTGCCCTAAGACTTTTATGTATAGGATGGGGTAAAAAGTTTTAAATAAATAAACAAACTCCTACCCAGCCCCACCCACCATGGTCAATGGTCAGGGATTATGGAACCTGCAGGCTGCAACATCTGGAAGGCATGGAGTTGCTTACCCCCACTTTATACCAAGATTGATGTTAACTATGACTAAGGCTAGACTTCCCCCTTAACAAGGACTGCTACAGTTTAAGGCTGCCTTTTAATCTTTACTAAGTGGGAAACCTGATTAATCTTAGCTGTGGTTAGCACATAATACTTAACTGTTGTTAAAGCAGGAGGAGAGACTTTGCTCCATAGAGAGGGTAGAAAGAGGGAGTATATAATTCTACAACTTTCCTCCTGACTGTTAAGAGCACCCTTCGGTCACATCTGCACTGGCTCACAGTTGCAAGATACTCAAGGCCACACAGAACATTTTGTACCACTCAGAATATTTACATGGCTGGATCTTCCATACATGTTTCTGCATAGAGGGTTGAAGGCCATAACCTGCTTTCCCCAGTTGGAGAAAATTAACCCCAACTGGCCCTATGTTCGTTTGTCTAACTGCAAAAGACAACAAACGAACAGCAAGAATCAAAAGCACAAGTGCTCCGTACTGAAGTGTGCACAACACAATACAAAGCAAGCCCATTCCTCTTTCGAAAGACCAACAGTCCCCCCCCCCATCCAAATGTTTTTATACCTTTAACAGCAAAGGATCAATCCCGGGTTATCCTGATCCCCCATCAACCCTTTGATCTTTTCTTCTGCCCATTGTTAACCTTTGAAGGTAGGTGCTGTTTTACCACATTCCACACTTATCTTAGCAGTGGGCAGACAAGCAGGCAGACGCCAACAGCTCTCTTCCCCATAAGTGTTTTGTAGCACAATTACACACAGAAACAGTTTCTGCTAAATATTATTCTTAAATAATAACAACTAAAATACCCTAGCATTTCTATTACCACAGTATTTCATTCAAGCACACATCGATTATGAATGTCTGTCTATCACATATATGCTTGCTTGTGCTTTCTTTCCATCTGCATGATTACGACAGAGTTAAACTTCTCTTTTCAACCATGAGGGCTAAAACCCGGCTTCTCAAAATAAATTCTCAAGCCTGGACTAAAGGCAAAATCTTTCTCATGACCCAGAATTTCCCATATTTCCTAGAGCTGGTGGAAAACAATGGTTCGAAACACAAGCAAGAAAGCTACAGATTAAGTTTATGCTTCACCTTAATCAAGAACTCACAAAACTGCCCTTAAACAAGTTCCTAGTTCTTTCATTTTCAGCCCTCACTGCGACATATTGGAAGCGGGGGGGAAATCATAATACAGGCCTACCTTATCGGGTTGTTGTGCAAGAATGAAGCTGGGAAAACTTCACACGCTCGCAAAACCGCTCCATAAATACTAAACGTTATTGCTTTTGGGGGGTGGGGAATTCCCTCCGTGCTGGGGCAGACCCAGTAGAAGGCTGCTCCTCAGATCCTTTGTTTGGATCTACCCCTTTTAATCCCGGCGGCCCCGACAGCCCTTTGCCGGAGGAAAAGCCTACGGTGGCAAATGAACCATCTACGAGACTCATGCCGTGCAAAGACTGGCGAGCGGTTGCGAGGCAGCAAGCCGCCCTCCCCTCGATGCCTGGGGTAGGATCAGTCCAGAGGTCGGATGAGAAGCACCCCCTCCGCCCGCTTCCGCCGATGGCCGCGCAATAGGCCGCCGCCGCCGCCCCGTGCCCGGGATCGCGGCTACTCACCAGCAACGGGCGGGAGGAGACGCGCGGCTGCGGCGCGGCAGGTCCGAGCGCGCTGCTCCAGTCCGCCGCCCGCCGCCGCACCTCTGCGGGCGAAGGAGCCGCGCCAGCGCCGAGCCCAGGCTGCAGGACCCACGCAGGCGGGCGCTCGGCGTGCCGCGGCGGCGCAGGGGTTACTGCCTGGCGGCCGAGGCCGGCCTGCGCAGCGAGAGCGGCTCCGACGGCGCCCCGGCCAGCCAATCGCGGCCGGCCTCCTCGCGTCCGACGGGGAGCTGAGTCAGACGCCGGAAGCGCCGCCTGCGCCAGGCCCCACAGCCGGAGCGCAGCCTCCGCCCCGCGGCGGGAGGAGTAACGTGGAGCCCTCTGGCGGTGCCGCGAAGCCAGGCTCCGGCCCTTCCTCGAGCGTGGACGATTGCCCAAGGCCGCAGCGCTTCGCCGTAGGACTGGGCCCAAGGCGAAGCGCCGGGTTATTTGGACTTCCATTCCCAGCGTTCCGCAGCGGTAACCACCCTGGCAAGGGCTTCTGGGAGCTGAAGTCCAAAAGTGAGCTTCGGCCCACCCGCCTTCCCCAACGGCACCACAACTCCCACGATCCCTCTGCATCGGTCATGCTGGCTAGAGCTGATAGGAGTTGTAGGTTCAAAATATACCTGGAGGTATTACACTACTCCAGCATTTCCAACGAGGTGTCCTTTAAGGTATGACTTGAGGTACGACTGAGGCACGACTCCCAGCATCTCCAGCCAACGTATCTGGTTGGGGATGGCAGTGCTACACCTGTTTTGGGAGGGGTTCGGTGGACGATGCACGGGAAAAGTAAACCCAACTGAGTACAATAGACGCATGCGGGAACGTTCTGTGTATTTTATCGAATCTGATGTGGTCTGTAATCAGAAATACACTGAGATGTGTCACTGTACAAAGTGAGCCTTTTACATACAGTTAAATCAGCAGAACACTGAAGCATCTTCTAAAATTTGTTTCAGCAAAATATGAAATGGGATAGAAATACAAGAGTATTCCTCCCGTTTTTATTGTGAGCCTGGCTTCAGTTTCTCTTCCCTTTTCTGTTTTAATTGTATTTTAAGATCGTTTTTGTACCCCTTTTTGGAAAACATTTTGGTTAAAATCTAAATTAACTAAAAAAGTTAAAAGAATGCATATTTCAACAGGCTCACTCCAAGAGGGGTGCAGTTGAAATTAGGGTTTCAGTTGAAATTAGGGTTTTTAGGATGAAAATGTATATATACATCATGCTGCCCATTCAAAAATGACTTTCTAAATTAACATTCATAATACACGTTACTAAACCAGCTAAACTCTAAAATCAGTTGCTAATATCTGCACATACATCAGTAAAAATTTACTGCTGGAACAGAATCCCAAAGTGTTGCAAAAGGCATGGGTGAACCTAATGACACCTAAAAGTTAGTAATGACAGGTGGGCAAATTTGGGAAAGCAATGCTGTAACCAGAGTGCTAGCACAGAAGTTCCCTCGGTCTTGTAACCAAGGAGGTGTGCTGAAGGGAGGCCGGCCTGATCATGATGCATCCTTAGGTCTCCCTCCCCGTCAATCCGGTTGCCTTGCTTGTCTACATGTTCAGGCACAGTGCCAATGCAGCATCACACAAGAAGACTGTCTCTTGCCATCACCTTTTGGTACTGCCTGAAAATGCATTGCGCCAGATGAGACTTAAGGCAAATTGTCATGCTACAGTTCTTCAAGGAGTGAAAATGCCAACTGCTACTTCGTGGCAAGGATTCCCTGTGCTCTGTGCACACATCCACATAAGTCAACAAAGTCCCTCACGGCAGGGGACAGTTTTCTCCACCATGACACTTGCTGCAAGTGGACCGTTTTCTCCATCATGACATGGGCAACAGCCTGCCCATGGCAAAATGAGTAGTTGGACCTCAGACTGCCAGGCTGTCTGATTTGCTAATGTACGGGCCTAGCTGCCTGCAGTGCATGGCTGACATTCACTCTGTTGCATCTGTGGCAAAAACAATGTAACACCAGCGCACCTGGGCCAGAGATGATCACCACAGCGCATGGAGCAAAAAGCAGCCAGTCCAGTGCTGCTATATTTGGGGCAGAATCCTTGCCCAGACGAGTCTAACTTGTGCTACACACGGTGTGGATAGAGCCTGTGGTTACTGCACCATCGGGCATTCACCCTTAATGAAAAGAGTTCTGCCACCTTTCCATGACGCAATTGGATTCAGCAGCTGGCCTCTCCTCTAAGTTGCTCCCCCTTGCACAAGTCCTTCTGCTTCCTTGGGATACCAATATCCACCTTACAGTTACACAAGTGGTGCAATGAGCAAATCAGAAATCAGCTTACAGTTAACTGTGTAGAACACTAATCATATCCTCTGGCTGAAAATAATAAGGTATCACAGAAAGGAAGGAACAATTCTGGGGGTGGGGGACTTAAGCAAGAAAATGCACCATACTTAAAGAGCTGCTCTGCCACCACAAAAGAGCATTCTGAATCCCATTCTCTCAATACTCACAGTGTAATTAATTTGCAAGGCTGTATTTCACCCAGTACTTGGCTCTTTCCCTGAATTCTGAAGGCTGAAGTTCCACAAGTGTGGCTTCCCCCTTAGCATGAAACAAACGTGGAATGGGGCACAGCTTCTGAATTCTCAGAGGGATAACGAATTTGCATCCTGAACAGAGTACAGCACCCTATTTAAAAATGTCCTTTACTGGCAACTCTTCATGTTTCCCTGTACAATCCCATCACTCTTATACCCCATGCAAATCTCCTTTTGTTCAGAAGTTAACAAAGGAAAACAAGATTTTACAGAATGTTTTCCGGTGATGATCTCACATAATTTACAAAGCCCTACCTGGGCATCGGCTATAGAGGAAGGGCCATAGCTCAGTGTGACAGGCCCCTGCCTTGCATGCGGAAGGCCCCAGATTTGATCCTGACATCTCCAGGGAGGGCCAGGGAAGAATCCTGCCTGAAGCCCTGGGGAGCCACGAATGCCAGCCAGTACTGGCTATACTGGGCTAAACAGGAGAAGGGTCTGAAGCATTCCTATAAACCTCTGGCCAAAGTGCACGAATTAGTCTACTCCAGATTTTAAGCAGCACATAGATTTGGCATTTATACTTGTTATCACAGCAACATGCTGCACGTGTATCTAACACATGAAGAAAAGACTACCATTTCCAATTTCATTTGAAAATTCTCTTTTTCCAGGAAACAACAAAGCTCTCCAGATCACAAGCAGGATTGATCAGGGAGCGCAAGCAAAAGAAACCACTCGAGAACCAATACTTTTATAGCCCTTTTAACTGATAAAGCCCACTGTGTACCAGTACAACAGTAGATAGCTGATCAAATAATCCCTTTCTATGCGGAGCACCGTGAACGCAAACGCGCTCTGAGTGACTCATCCACTGACACCCGCACGAGCTTCACGGCTCTGCAACACAGCGATGACCCCACAGAAAATCGCCTTGCGGGACTCCCAGGCCGTGCCTACCCACTGAATTCCACGCGGTTGGCCCCCGGGTAACTGTGCACAGGGTTGCAGTCTTAGTGCGTAATTCGGTTACCTTTCTCCACCATCCAGCCTCGCTCCTTGCCCGCTCATCAGCGACCCTCTGCAAAGGCCACCAAGCCATACGGGGACTAACTCCGCCTCTTATTGCCTCACTTCCTGGGAGGAGAGGGCAGGTCACCCGCGCTTGTTACATAAACAAAAGGCCCGCGGCCGTCACTGCCGTGCTGCGGGTCGGGGCCGCGGCTCCCGCTCGCTCCGCCTCGGGGGCGTCCCGAGCCCTTCGGCGCCCTTCGCGAGCGGCAGGGCCGCCTCCCCAGCTCCCTTAGGGAGCGCCGCTCCGGCAGCCGGGCTTGCTCTCCCGCCCCGGGAGACCTGCAGGCGGCTTTGGGGAAATCGGCTTAGGGTTTGGGTCACCGATGAGAAAAGCCTGTTTTATTCCCCGTTAAGAGCATTCGACCTTTTCTGAAGTTCTCTCTGCTTGGTACTCAGTTAGAAATAAGTCGATTGGATTCATTTACCCAGGTTGAAGTGGGTCTTGACCTACAAGCGGAGCAGCCACTTGGTGCAGATGCAGCCTGGCCTCCGCAGGGATCAGTGCACGGTGTTGAGCTGCGTTCAGCCCAGGGGCCGACTTCCATCTGAGAGGCTCCCTGGTGGAAGCGAGGGCAGGGCCACCCCAACACTGCCCGCATATTTCGGTTTAAAGCTTTTCCTGCCAGTGACTAAGCCTTAGGACAGGCATTTCAACTCTTCAGGGTGGGGAAGCCTGTGCAAAGGCAGTGTAACCCCCAAGGGGTTGCAGGGCTGGGGGGGTGGGGCAGAGGATGGAGGCAAGGCCAGCTGGAGAACACCACAGGGCTGGATTTGGCCCCAGGCCTCAGGTGCTGAAAAAGTGGCAGTCATAACTTCAGAAATATAAGCCAAGTCAGAATTGTCTAAATGTTCAAGCAGAGAGTTATTAGTGTGGATGACCCTGGCACTGGATCCAAAACCACAAAGCAATGTCATGTAATCTATGCTAGAAATGGAAAAACAGATTCCTTAACTTGCTAGGAGTCTCAGCAGACCCTGCAAGTCAAAGTGCATATATAATTCATATTTGAATAGCTAGTCTAGCCACTGTAGAATACAATGTGCTGGTATGCTAGGCAGTGCTGCAACTTTTCTGCAGAGCTGGCGAGGCAGTGTGAGAACCTCTGCTCTAGCTGATTAACAGTACTACAATTTTGTTACTTTATGAAGATGAGAGTGTAAAACAAACAAGCGAAAAACTATCAACTACAATAACAGTATGTAACATTTCACATTCAATCTTACGCTGTCTGTCGTGGGACGGAATGGAAGAATCCATGCAAACAACACCCACACTAATGTACATTGAAACAATACTGCATTTCTA